CTGTGTTGTTGTTGGCGGAGCACCTTTACTGCACTTCTACCCGGTCGCCATCTTGTTTGTTTTCCAGAAGCTTTGAATTTTATACTTTGCTGCAGTTACGGTGGGCTGCAAGTTGTGTGTGTGTCTGTGTCTTTACAGTGGACTGACACCTGTATCACTTCATAGAGTGTGCTTGGATGTGCATACAGGACATATATTGGCTCCTTGTTCAATTATTTTTTGTTTTGGACTCTGAATTCCTTTTCATAAATGGATGGACCTCCAGATTGATTGGTATGTGTGCCTGCTCTTTGGAAAGCAAACTGAATGAAGTTTGCATCATAAACTTCTAGATAAGGGCTTAGCAATTCTTGCCTTTAAAATAGTTTTTTTCTCCTTTTGATAGAGCTTTATATTGTTTTGTAGCCTGTAAAACTTTCAGGCTTTGGCTAAAAATACTTCATTTTTCTCTACAGATAATTCCAGTGGACAAATTAGTAAAAGGGAAATTTCAGGACAATTTTGAATTTGTTCAGTGGTTCAAGAAGTTTTTCGATGCAAACTATGATGGAAAAGAATATGACCCTGTAGCTGCCAGACAAGGTCAAGAAACAGCAGTGGCTCCTTCCCTTGTTGCTCCAGCTCTGAATAAACCGAAGAAACCTCTCAGCACTAGCAGTGCAGGTAAAAAGAAACCACCATTTCCATCTGACAGTAACCCAGTATTCGTTCGGTAAGCATTCAGACAGAATTTACTGAGTAGCCACAGGCTCCCAGTGTGCCTGCCTTCCTTCCAGGCCCTGAGGCCATGTGGCAAGAACATGGAGTTTTGCATCTTACATCTTTGTACCCCTATGTAAGCCACTTCACCTCTGTCCCATCCATAGTTTCCTCCTCCAGAAGATGAGAAATTGTACTGCTTGCTCTAGTGGGTTGCTTTGAAACCTTAATGAGTTACTTGGCAGTTTTTCCAAGGCTTTTTTGTTATATGAAATAGAAATCCCTTCAGGTGCACATTAGAGCAGAGCTTTAGTTTGATTACAAGGGTGTTTCACAAAACTGTGGGATGGAAGTTTACAACCAGGCCTGAACTTGCAGGAATGGAAAGAGCTTTCTAGGTCTCTCTGGGACTGTTCTTGGCTGTCTGCATCATCATGCTTTCTACAGACCAGCTTCCTCTGCTTTCTCATGGCTTTTTTGCCCCTCTGTAGAACTTTAGCTGGTAAGTGACTTTGGCTTGCTGTGGTGATAACAGTCTAGGAGGCAGGAAATGGCTGTTTTTAGAGACCTTTAAAAGATTGGCAAGAGTATTGATTAGTTAAGGTCTCATAGTACCATAAGGGGCTGGTCCATCGGGTAGATGGAGAGGAATGTTGAGTACCTTTAATTTTTAATAACCTCTATTGAGATACAGTTCATATGCCTTACAGTTCATCCATTTAAAGTGTAGACTTCGCTAGTCTTCGGTCTATTTCAGAGTGTTGTGCAGCCTTGTAGAAGATTTTCCCTGCCACAAGATAACCCTCATGCGTATTAGCAGTTACTTCCCATTTCCTCACAACCCTCCAGCTCTAGACAACCAAAGTAGATTCTGGACATTCCATCTCAGTGGAATCATAGAATATGTGTTCTTTTGTAATTGGCTTCTTTCTCATAGCGTAATGTTTTTAAGATTCATCCGTTTTTATAGCATGTATTTGTATGCCATTCCTTTTTATTACCAGATATTCTATTGTATGGACTCATCTATTCATCATTTTCTGGGCATTTGATTTGTGTGTACTTTTTGCCTGTTATGAATAATGCTGCTAGACATGTTTTCATTTCTCTTAAGTATATATCCAAGATTATATAGACTTAGAATGGAATTGCATGGTTGTGTGGTAACTATGTTTAACCTTTGTAGAAATGCCTGTTTTTCCAGAGCAGTTTCAGATGCTGCCGGCAGTCTAGTTGAGACTTGTATTAAACATTTAGTCCTTGGGATGAACATATACTAGGGAAGCCATGCAGAGGAAATGTCTGTTTCTGTGGTGAAAGGCCCTATCCTATGGCCATTGAATTTGGGCTGTCAGGAAGATCAGCTATTTCTAAGCCTAGAATATGGTTGTTGTTAGTGTGCTGTGGATTGGGTTCCAATTTATAGCGACCCTACTTAGGGTTTCCAAGGTTGTAAATCTTTTCAGGCACAGGAAGCCTCATCTTTATTTTGTGGAATGACTGGTGGTTTTGAACTACTGATCTTGAGGTTAACAGCCTGATTTGTAACCACTACACTACTAGAGCTCCTAAGCCTGGAATATAGTACAAGCTTTATAAAAATAATTGGTGAATGAATAAGATAATGAGTGATATGTGTAATGCTATTGAAGGTAGACTGTTCTTGATTATTCTACCTTGTAGATACATTAGCCACTACTGGTTTTTCTTTGTCTTTGCCTTTTGGCTTTTATTTTGAGAATTCTTTAAATCCTTGTCAGTTTGATGCTTTTCTCTGCAAGCCTTTCTAAGTACCTTGTAAAAGATGGGCAAAGTTTTGCAGTAATTAGTGTTTAAAATCAGGTTTTACAACCGTGATGGACTCCTTCCCCTTCCAAATCCATAGAGGGTGAAGTCAAGAGTTAGGAAGCATTTACTTTCCAGATGGGGAACCATGAGCACCTGGCAACAGTGGGGCTGTGAGCTCATTCCTGGTGTGAAGTTTGCCTTAGAACCATGAAGTGCCCTATTTGTGGATTTGGTTGGAGGTAAGTTAAGGTAGATCATCTGTATATACCAAATCTGTTAACACCTCTTTCAGATAGTCCTCTTCAGTCCAGTGTAGAAAACACCTCACCGAAGGATTTAATCTCAGCACAAAAGATCATCGCTACAATTGGTACTTTGGATAGAAGAACTACTTGGACAGATATGGTGTTGTTGTCTTGCATGTTGAGGCTCTAGCATTGGCTCCTTTCACTGAGCACTGTGGAAAATAGGGACAGCTGCCTAGTTGGTCAGTCTTCCCTTGTCTTAACAGATTTGTTGTTGTTGTTTTTTTTGTCTTTTAAGTTTCTCATCTTAAAATTTCACTGCTACACTGAAGTGATCTATAGATTCCATGTAGTCCCTATCAAAAATTGAATAGTTGCTTTTGCAGAAAGGGAAAGCTAATCCTCAAATTCATATGGATGACAAGGGACCTAAGTAGCTCCAGCGATCTTGCAAAAGAAAGGCAAAGTAGGAGGAGTCCCAGATTTCAGTTTCAAACATATTGTAAAGCTGCATGAATCAAAACAGTGTGGCACTGGTGTAAGGCCAGACATCTAGACCAGTGGGTTAGACTAGAGAGCTCAGAAATAAATTTGTACATCTATAGCCAATAGATTTTCAACAAGGAAAGGAAAATCTCCACAGTAAATGATGCTGGGGCAACTGGATCACCACATGCAAAAAAACAAAATTAAGCATGGTGCTGTAGGATAAGCACTGGCCCACAAGTTCAGTTTGGATACCAAGGTCAGTGATTCAAATTCACCAGCCACTCCACAGAAACACTATGCAGGGTTGCTATGAGTTAGAATCGACTTGATGGCACTTAACAACAACATACCTTACACTATAAGTGAAAATTAACTCAAAATAGATAAATCATCTGAATCCATAAAATTGTTAGAACATAGCATAGGGGTAGGGTTTATAAAGCTTTGGGTTTTGTTTTTTCAACAATGGGTTTTTAGATATGAAAAATATGAGCAACAAAAGAGAAAGTATATAAATTAGACTTCATCAAAATTAAAAATAATTGTGCTTCATAGGACTTTTATTAACAAAATGAAGAGACAATCTAAAATGCTAGGAAATATTTGGCAGCTATATCAAGGTGTAATATGCAGACTATATAAAGAATTCTTAGAGCTCAACAACAAAAGGACAAGCAACCCACTCAAGAAATAGGAGCAAAGGGAAGATACAGTCTAAAATGTGAGAAAATATTTGATGACCATATTATCAGAAAAGGATGAAATAACAACAGAAAGACAAGAAACTCAATTGAAAAATGGGCCAAGGCCTTGAGTAGACATTTCTTCAAAGAAGACATGCAAATGGCCAATGTTGTTAAGTAAGCTTGTAATTAGCAGCCCAGTGCTTATCTTAAAACAGCCCCACACCAGGACCCACCCCCACAAATGCCCAGTAAGGCACATGGAAAGATGCACGACTCCATTAGTCATTAACTTATTTATATCAAGTTGATTCCAGCTCATATAGGACAGAGTGGAACTGCCCCATATGGTTGCCAAAGCTGGAATCTTAATGGAAGTAGATTGCCACATCTTTCTCCCATGGAGCAGCTGGTGGATTCAAACTACCAACCTTCAAAGCTCCTTTATAGACCATGGGGGGAGTGCACATCAAAACCCACTTTACTCCCACTAGTATAACTTTTGGAGTCCTGGTGGTACTGTGGATTAATCACTGGACTGCAAAGTTGGTTTGAACTGCAAGGTAGGTGATTCAAGCTCACAAACTGCTCCTTGGAAACCCTATACAGGATTGCTATGTGTCAGAACTGCCTTGATGGCACTTAACAGCAACAACAGAATAACAATTACTAGAAAATGGAACTTAACAAGTGTTGGTGAGAATATGGAGAAATTGGAACCCCTGTGCATTGTTGGTGGGATTATAAAATGGTGCCTTTGATTCAGTTCTGATTCATAGAAACCCTGTATAGGGTTTCTGAGGAGTGGCTGGTGAATTTGAACTGCTGACCTTGCGGTTCCAACTGACCTTGAGGTCAAGTACTTATCCTGTGGTGGTACCACACCAAGACTCCTTAAATTGTTGTTGTTATTAAGTGCTGTCGAGTTGGTTCTAAGTCATAACGACCCTGTATATGGTGTCCAAGGAGTGGCTGGTGAGTTCGAACAGCTGACCTTGTGGCTCAAACCAACCTTGTGTTCCAGTGCTTTATCCCACAGCACCACACCACGGCCCCTAAAATGGTGTGGCTGCTGTTAAAAAGTTAAACATAGAATTATGTTGTTAGGTGCCATCCTGTTGGATGCGGTTCCAGCTCACAGCTATCCATTGTAGAGCAGAATGCGAATTACCGTATAACCCAGCAGTTCCACTGCTAGGCGTATACCCCACATACCTGAAAGCAGGGACTCCCAACAATAAACTGGTACACCAGTGCTCATTGTAGCATTATTCATAGCAGCCAAAAGGTGGGAACAATCTGGGTGACCACTAGCAGATGAATGTATAAACAGAATGTGGTGATCCATACATGCAATGGACTATGATTTGGCCATAAAGAGAAGTGAAGTTCTGTTGCATGCTGTGACTTGATGGCCTTGAGAACGTTTTCTGAGTGACATCAGTCAGGCACAAAAGAACGATTATTGTGTGACCCCACTTATATGAAAAATCTAGAATTGGCAAATGCATAGAGACCAAAGTTTATTAGTGGCCACATGTGCTCGGGAAGTGGGATTGGAAAATGGTGAGTTGTTGCTGAAGGGGGGGCAGGTACTAAATTTCTGTTTGGGTTAATGTAAGACTTTTGGAAATGGGACGTGGTGCTGGTCACTCAACATGGTGAATGTAATTAATGTCACTGAATTGTACACGAAAAATGGTTGAAGTAACTAATATTTTGTTTTATATATCTTACCACAACAAAAACTTCACAAAATTCCTCTGCTCTTCTCAGCTCCACAGAGGCCCATTTCAACACAGAGAACTACTGCAACTTCTAAGGCTGGCCCAGGTGTTGTGAGAAGGAATCCTGGTGTGGGCAATGGGGATGATGAAGCAGCTGAATTGATGCAGCAGGTAGGGGTTTAATTTTTATAAAATGAAATATGAAGGATTTTTAGGCTCTCTCTTGGTTGCCAAAGTCCTTACTCACTCCTGTTACTTAAACCTGATTATCATGGCTCATTTGCATTATTTCTTGGTCCTGAAAGTATTTGAATCTGTGGCCTTGGTAAAGGTGTGTAGGGCTGGTAGAAATGGCTGTTGCAGAAACTGGAGCCAGATGGGTATGTTAATGCTAAAGAAAAAAAAAATGCATTCTGCACGGATACTTTGTAGTGTTCCTTTGTTTGGAAAATCTGCAAGGATTCCATGATTGTAAGGCATCCTGAAGAAACTTACTTTGCATTACATTAATTTTAGTCCAACATAGTACTGGTCCAGTAGAAATTGATTGTCAGAAATGTGAGTAGCATCTGTAATTTAAGGTTTCTTAGTAGCTACTGTAACAAAAGTAAAAAGAAACAGGTAATAATAATTGTGATAGAAGATGACCTGATATATCCAAAATATTATCATTTCAACTTGTAATCAAGATAAATAATTACCAATGAGATATTTACATTTGAAGACTTGTCTGGGAGATCTGATGTGTGCTTTTCACTTACAGCCTTTCTCAATCCACACTGGCTCAGTTACCTGTTGACCAGTGAAGGTTCCAGGTAGTCTCCTTGAGTAGATTTTGCTTTTCTCATGAGAATGGTCAAAGAATAACATTGATTACTAGTGACAGATTTTTAATAACTTCATAAATAAGCGCTTAAAGGAGTTCTAGGTGAGAGTCAGGGACTTAGGACTTATTTATTGTTTGCTGTGGATATATCAGTTTACTAGGTGGTGGTGGTGGTGGTTGTTGTTGGTGGTGTGTCATGCTGTGCCATGCCTTGCAGTCGGTTCTGACTCATAACGACCCTGCATAGGATTTCCAAGGCTGTAAATCTTTATGGGAGCAGAAAGTCTCTTTTTCCTCCCATGGAATGGTTGCTCGTTTTGAACTGCTGACTTAGAAGTTAGTAGTCCAACTTGTAACCACTCTGCTGCCAGACCTTGAAGAACCACTGTCCTTGTGGTTGAGTGTGTTAGCTTGTTGAGGAGGTAAGACTAAAATTTGAGAGGTTTTCATTGGTGGCTTGTGAGTTAAGTGTGTTGTCTTTTTTTTCCCCTTCCATTTTCTCTTTTTTTTTAAAGTTTTTATTGTGAATTAAGTGATAATTTACATGGGAGAACACCGGTTTTATTAAACTCATCAAATCATATTACATTTCATTGCAGTGATTACAATTCCCTCCATTCAACAGTATTTGCTTCTATTCCCTCTGGGTTTTTTGGATGTACGCAAAACACTCAGGAGTATATAACCATTTAAACAATCAAAGGGCACATTCTGCAAGCCTGCCTCCTAGCGACTAGCACACAGCCTTTCTCTTTCCATGAGTCTAGAGTCCTTAGCTGCTCTCTCTCTCCATGTCCTCATCTCTGCCTCCATCTTTGGTGTCACTACTTCTCTGGATAGGGTTCCACATTCCACTTGTGCTCTTCTCCCTTGATGGTCCTAGGGTCCTTTCTGTTCCTGGAATATAATGCATTGTGTTTTTTCAAATTTTTATTGTGAATTAAATGAAAGTTTACAGGGCAGATCATCAGTTTTACATTCAACAAATTGTATACTTTGTTTTCATTACAATGTTTATAACCCCTTCCGTGCACCATCAGTTAACAGTATTTCTCTCTATTCATTTTAGCTCTCTCTCTCTCTTTTTTTTTAAACATTCAGGCATATATAATAATTTGCACCACCAAAGGGCACATTTTGCAAGTCCTGGCCTCCAGCTCTCAGTTCCTTTCTATGAATCTAGAGTCCTCAGCTGCTCCCTCTCTCCATGTCCCCATCTCTGCCTCCGTCTTTGGTGTTGCTACTTCTCTGGATAAGATCCTGCATTCTGCTTGTGCTCTTCTCCCTTGATGGTCCTAGGATCCTCTGTTTCTGGACTATAAGATGAACTACTACCCTGTTTTTGTTACAAAACTCTATCTTTACAATTGTGAGTCGCAATTAGTCATGATAAATTATTCACTATTTTTTTATTAAATAAATGTTTTATTGTGAATTGTGAGTCGCAATTAGTTATGATAACAGTTATTCACTATTTTTTATTTTTCATTAAATAAGTGTTTTATTGTGAAATGTGTGATAGTCTACATGGGAGAACATTAGTCCTACATCCATTCTATCATACATCGTTTCATTGGCATAGTTACCATCCTGTCCATGCATCCTCATCCAACCAAAGGGTGTACCCTGCAAGCCTGCCCCCCCCACCACAGTCCTCAGCCCCTTTTCCTCTCTGGATCCCAAGTCCCCAGCCACTCCATCTCTTTACGTCATCTTCTCTGCCTCCATCTCAGGCCTCACTGCTTCTCTGGGTAGGACCCCGCTCTCCGCTCTTCTCCATTGATGGTCCCAGGGCCCTCCGCTCCTAGACTGCAAAGTTAATCACTCCCCTCTTTGCTACAAAATGTCCACCTTTAGATTTCCAACCCTCACAGTCAGTCCTGATAACAGTTCTTCACTATTGCATCACAAGAGACCCATCTGCATTTCATTTCATCAGCCCTTCCTGGACAGGCTGGGTCCTATTCACTGGAGGCTCTACCTTCCTCCATGTCCTTTGTATCTAGGTTCCCTCAATAGTTATTCACTATTGAATCATAAAATTCTTATCCCATCTCATTTTACCAGACCCATCTAGACAAAATGAAAGCTATTCAGTGGGGACTCTTATCTTCTCCCACACACTCTTATTAAACTAAACTCCCTCTTGAAACTTTGTAAGCCAGTCACTTCGTGCCTTTATCACCCCCTCATTTTAGGTAGTCAAAGTTGCCTGTCCTTATCTACCCTGTACACAGAGGAGATAGCATTGATGCTTGATATGAAGACTCCTTCCCTCTCTGTTGGTACTACATCCATGAGTACAGGTCTAGTTCATCAAATTGTAACAATTTACCCACGTTTCCTTTATCAAAAATTGTTGTTTTTTTATCTTCTCTAGTCGAGTTCTGATTAACAAGCCACCAAGGCTAGGTCAAATGGGTACTATATGCAAATTTGGGTGTTCCTGTGCGCCTTCCCTCACTTCATATCAGCTGGATGCTTCACTCTTAGTTCTAGCCCTCTGTGGCTAAGTCCTTGTCCATGGGCTTAGGTGTCCCCTAAGGTCCTTAGGTCTCACCACACTTTCGACCAACCAACCAGCCCTTCCCTCTTCTCTCTCTCATCTCCAGGTTAATGGGAGTCTGTGGAGCGTGGTTGGACTCAGCCCATTTCTTCATTGCTGCCTTTCCTCCTCTTCCACTCACCAGTAGACCAATGTGGTCGCCAGCAAGCTTACATGCCTGCTTATATGTTCTCTTTGAGTTTTAGTCTTAGAGGGAAGTTTTATCTTAAAGGGACTTGATTGATTGCTTTGTTGGCTTCCCTGCAAACAACTTGCTTATTTTTTTTTTTTTTTTTTTTCCCTTTAAGGTTTTTATTGTGGATTGAGGGAAAGTTTACAGGGCATATCATCAGTTTTGCATTCAACAAATCATATACCTTGTTTCATTACATTGATTATAATCCCCTCCACGTACCATCAGTTAACAGTATTTCTATCCACTTTAGCTTTTTAAAAAACAAACAAAAAAAAAACCACTCAGGCATATAATAATTTATATCTCCAAAGGGCATATTCTACAAGTCTGCTCCTGGCCACCAGTTCTTAGTCCTTCTCGTCTTAGTCCATTAATCGAGAGTCCTCAGCTGCTCCCCCTCTCCATGCCCCCATCTCGGCCTCCATCTCTGGCGCTGCTGCTTCTCTGGATAAGGTCCCGCATTCTGCCCGTGCATTCTTCTCTTGATGGTCCTAGGGTTCTCTGTTTCTGGACTGTAAGATTAACCACTCCCCTGTTTTGTTTTTGTTGTTGTTTTTCAGAATAACAAAAAATATTTTACTAAAACATAAGATTTATAGAAGTTTCCAGACAAGCCATATAAAATGGTCACAAGCTTTTTCTTGAAGGAAGGATTCTACACTTAACAGCAAAGTCACAGTGTTATTAGTGAGGGCTGTGATGTTTGTTTAATGTTCCCATTTTGGTTGAAACAATCAAGCTTGTCCATCTACAGCGTCTAAATAAAGTTAGATTTGGCTAGAGGGTATATTCTAAAGAACAACTGGTTAGCTGCTTTTATCCAATGCAGTTAGGTCACCATAAAAAGGGGGAAAGGAGCCCATAAATTTAAAATTAAACTACCTCCCCCCTCAAACAAAAAAGTAAAAGAAAACACCCACACCCCTGCAGCTAACCCGGACAACTACCTTCATTAACAGTGCTTTATACTTAAACCATGATGGGGAAGAAATGCATAAAAGCAGAGAGGAATCACTGCTTTTAAACATTTAACAACAATCTAGATGATCCTTCTAGCCTCTGCTTATGCTTTACAACAGTGAATCAGGACAAGACAGATTTGCTAATGTGCATTTAATCACCAAAGGACTGAACATGTCTGGGCTTTTATTCTGTAATGTTTCTAAGACTGTGTCCATTAAATGCAAACAAAAAAAGAAGTCTTGGCAGAACAGAAGTGATGCACACGATGATCAAATTGATTTAAATATTATTCATGGCATATAGCCTAGTCTATGCTCTAGCTGTTTCTGTATAGGGCTTGGTCTTCCTTGGTCTTCCACTGCTCCGCTACATCATTTGCTAATGGATCATCTGGATTACGAGTACTTAACAAAGCCTGGATGGATAGCAGAACTGTGCAGATCTGCAGTCCTGAGGACCACTTAGCTTTTAAAATATCTAAACATGAAATGTACTTTAGGAGCTGCCATTGGGTATTCTTCTGGAAGGAATAGTTCAAGTTTAAAAGTCCCTCCCTCAAAGGGGGAATCCTGGGGGCCAGCAGTGACCACATGAAAATATCGGGCGTTGCTCTCATCTGGTTCTGCTTTAATGCCAGGAAC